GATGACCAAATGATGGTCTTGACATTGAAGTGGAAGCCCAGGGGTTCTGAGCCCTAGCCTGGTACTAATTTAGTTTCCCTTTGTAGCATCCACCAGGACAGTTTTTATCAACCAGTGATGTGAGAGTAAGTCTGTGAGACATTTCTAGAAGAAAAATGCTTTGTGCTGCCATTGCAATTGTTCTTCTTTAAAGTAACTTGTATTTGCAGCTTCATAAACCCCAATGTTTTGCTGTCTTTTCTTTTAGAGAGTGTCGTCATTCACCAGTTACGCATGAACTCTAGATGAGTTCCCGCCCCACTGCACGCGCTCTGTGTGCACTGCCCTCCTTGCCAGTGGGATGGATCGCTGTAGAAGCTCTCTACCATCAACACCAGGGTCACTTGTGCTACTGATTATTCGTGGAAGTATTTATTGCTTCTGTTAGGTTTTATATATTTTTTCTTGGTAGAGCTTTCAGAATGAAGGGCCTTGCTGATATTTTGAAAGTACGTAGTCAGAGAGAGAGAAGCAGTCTTTCTGCCAGCTGAATTTCATTTTTATTTGCAAAGCCTAAGGCACATGCTTGATTTTATTTGATGTTTGCCATATAATTTATTTTTATAATACACTTTGTAAAGTAACTGTCCCAACGTTGCAATTCCTGTTGTCCATGGTGCGTTTATTTGTAGAATACACTGTCAAATTTGCAATTTGATATTTTTGTAATAGAGAGTATGTAAAGAAAGAAAAATTTAACTTCAGCAATGTTTTGTGTTTAAATGGAAAAATATTCAGTGCATTTTTTTGCCACCATGAGATTCTGTGAGACTAAATACTCTGAAGACTGCTGTATGGAATTTGTACTATTGCAGAATATTTCTTGCACTGTGTGATGGTTTGGCATAAAGTTGAGTATTAAAGTCCAATGCCTTGAAATACAAACAGATTTACTCATTTTAAACAATGTAAGCCAGTTTTTAAAGCTGTGATTTTTTTCTGTATAATGTATGTTTTTATTTCTGCCTGTACCAAAAAAGTTGATTTTCATTACACTGTAACTAATAAATTTTCACAACTATGCAAATGTAATCAAGTGTTTGAATTTCAACTCTAATTTCTTAAGGTTGACAGTACTCATATACGTATTTGTTTATAGGGACAGAATGTATGGCCTTGGAAGTTCCTTTTTCTGACTGGTACCTCACTGTGGTATCGCAGTGATGCACACAGTAAAACTGATTCAGATGTTAAGATACGGAGAGGGATCTATCACCAAGCCCTTAATGACTCAGTGGTTGCTAAACTCGTGCTCTCACTGCACTGACAGAGATGTTTGGCTGGTACGCTCAGAATACGTGGTGCTGGGCTAGCGGGGCTGCACAGGTGAGCTGCCGTGCGCTCTGCCGCACGCTGACGGGCGCGTTCCGCAGTGGTGGTGGTAGCTCTTCACACAGCATCCAGAAAGTTCTGTGGCAGCTCTACTTAAAATGATTTTTGAATGGATTATAAATAAAGCTGGATACAACCCAGGCAGGGTCTTTTTTTTTCTTATACATTTCATAATGGATTATTTTTAATCTAAGTCATTGGCACATACTTAAAATACTGCAGATTTTTAATTGCAGAAGCTACTGGGAGAAACTATCTTTTGGAAGGGAAAATGGTGTTGCTTGCAGGAGATATGCTGTGAGATGCCAGAAAGAGTGCATTAACTCAGCGTCCCACTGAGATGACTAGGTCAGTTCATCTTTGAAGCTGTAATATCGCACTGCTTTGTAGTCAATTTGATTTTCATGGGAGACATGGGAGCTGCTTCTCCTTCTACATATGAGTTCTGCAGCAAACGCTGACATTGTAGAGAAGCAGGATATTCTGGGACCTGTATAAACTTTCTCGGAGTTGATCTGCATTGTAAAGAGTTTGCTAATAGAACTATACTGACTAATCAAAATAAATGCTTCTTATCCTTGCAAAAGAGTCATTCTGTTGGTATAGAGTATACTTCAGCTGGTACACCAAGTTTTTTAATAAGTGTTTTTTCTTTTTCTTACAGCAGACAGTGTATGCCAATAACATAGCTGTGTCTGTAGATCATATTTTAGAGTGAGTCGAGAAGAATTCCAGCTTTCAGAGAGTAATACAGCTGAGGTGAATAAAGTTTAGTATGTGCCACATTTCAATTTACTGCACAGTAGAATGAGCACTGTAATGACCCAGATCTTCTATTTTCAAAGCATTATTTCAAAGAATCAAAACCTGTCCATGTTATCAATTACATTGAGCTCATCTGGAATGAAATTGCTGGCTATTTGAAAGTGACAGTGATGTGCCTGACATAAACTTCAGCTTTTAAATATGAGTAAGATATAAGTAAAATCTTATTCTGAAATTGAGTCTAAATTTAAAAGGTCCCAATCAAAGCAGAAAATATTTTTCATTGTCTAGATCTTAATATAAAGGCGATTCAGTATGAGCGCATGTGTGAGCTGTCCCCTTTTGGTTTATGATTCTTAAACAAATATATAAACGTTTACGGTTTTGCAAATACATTAAGTTTTTAAGCTTTACAAAATAAAGGTTTGTTTAAAGCATGAATACAGTTGTGGTGTATTTGAAATCATTTAGATTTAAAAATATTTTTGATGAACTGCATCACTTTGAAGTGGGAGACTGGTAACACTGGTCATAAAAGATCAGTGGTGATACTATTTCATCACTGATAATGGTTTATGCAGGTAGAATAATAAATTCTGATCTGACACCCAGCAAGCAGCTGAAGTATTTCATAGAAATGCCTGGAGGGTAAAACTCAACGTGTGCAAAGGGAACTTTGACAGGTGCATTTCATCTTCAATGCATTTATGTCCCGGGTCAATTTTTTACATTACCCAATTTGGGTTTGAATCTAAAATAAATAAAGAAAGTGCATTAGCCACATAATTAGCCTGTATTTTGGGGACATGCCGGAAGAAATCTATTAATATAGACTAAAGATGTGATTACTTTCTACAAGTATTGTCATTTTAAAGGAAGTAATCAAGAAGTGCTTTCAGACCAAGCCAATGTAGTGGCTACCTTGGGCTACAGATACCAGTAGCTTTTAAGCAATTGAAAAACAGCAAAAGATCTACTTTTCTCTTAAAGATCTCTTGCTGTCTAAAGAGGATAGAAAGACTTATGTTAGTGTAATTATAGGTGATATGATGTTTCAACCTATTAAAAAAATCACTAAGTTTTATCTCTTCTTCCGAACAGTAACATTTAAGTTGAAAACTTCATATTTAATGCTTTAAGTTATATAGTTTTGCTCCCTGAAATAATCTATTTGGCAGTTAACGCATTTTATTTCCCTTGCCCGTTATAGTTATTGGGGGGTTTAACCACATAAGGTTTTATTTCTTTAGATTTTATTTTAAAAATAATTATTTACATCTTTCCTAGAAACAAGGGGACAAGGTAATGATAGGGTAAGTGCCAGAAGATGATAATATTGGGGGCTTAATGGAATACAATTAAAAAATAAAAGCTAATTGGTGGTCTTTTACATTAACTACAATACATTAATTTTTGTACACTTTTAAGGCTCATTTTATACCCCTGAAACCAGACCGGCTTTCAAATTAAAATATTGTAATTTCAGCATTTATTCTTAGGAAGTCTGGTACATATTTGCTTCTTCCTTGCCTTAAAAATGAAACGTACTGAGGCTTCGACTACGTAATATCTCTGTGTAGCATTCATTGCTAGGTGAATGCCTAATAAATCAGTTTGCCATTCCACATATTAAAAAAGAAACATTATGAATGTATGTTTTGGTAAGTATTTTTCTTTTTCTTTTTTTGTCCTGTACCTATTTGTCTCATAACAGCACATAAACCAATGTGAAGTGCACTACATTGCACATCATCTTAATGTAAAATTTCATGAACATGAAATTTGTTAGTTGCATTTGCCTGGATATAAATGAGTTTGCATAACGTAAAACTGTGAAATAATATCTAACCAAGACCTTAGCTTACCGTTGAAAAAGTAAAACCAATATATTGAAGTATTTATGCTGCTATTCTTTATTTTTCTAAAGAATGGAAGTAAGGTATACCTTGTAATTGCAGCCAGTTATGTTACCAAGGAAGTAATTATATCGGTAAAAAGAAAAATCATGTTTCTAATTCACCTGTTATAATGCAAAATGTATGTGTAGGCCAAGCTTGTAGATGAACATATGGCCTTAGATACAACTAACTGAAAAGAGAGAGTCAAAAGTGGATCTGATCTGTATGATATATCATTTTTTTTTCACATGATGCGGAAGACCAAGCAGAGAGTAGTTCAGACACCTCACTTCAGTTGTTGCTTTGTCAGTATGGCAACACTTACCCCTGCATCACAGCTTGGCCATGGGGATGTCTACCATACCGCACCTTCTCCAGTTCAAAATTGGACAGCACCCAATTCTACTGGGTGGAAAGGACCAAGTTCTCCTGTTCTGTCCTTTTTCCACATTTCCCAGATTTATCCTGGGCTTTTGTGGCTATGGCTACATTAGCACATCATTTGGTACAAACAGAGCAGATTAGCACATGAAAGTTCTGGGGCTCTTCTCATCTCCATCAGACATAATTTGAGGTTTTCCTGGACTGGATTTAGCCTGGCCCCTAGGTGAGATGTCTCCCCTGCAGGTCAGTTTGAAACTTGTCAAAGGAAAACTTTCACATCAACCTGTTCGCTTGACTGAGGGCCTGACAGATCCTCTAGGAAGTGCCTCACTGTCGTTCTGCCCGTTTCACACAAAGGCTAGTACCACATCAGTGTCTCCACACAGGGCTGGCCCACAGCCCTGCACCACTATCGTGGCTACTCCCCAACAGCTGACAGAGCCCCTGACCAGTTTAACCATTGCAGAACAGATTCCCACAGAAATTTATCACGTCCTTTCTTGCCAGTCTTCTCATACCTGGCAGCAGTAAGGTTTGCATCTTCCTGATGCTGCCTCTTGGCTATCCTGCTGCCACAGAAACTCCTTGCCATCTCACAGCACAGGTTTTACAAGCAGTCTTGTTCCCTTGAGATCCCAGGTTGCACCTCATCACATTTTCCATGAAGCTGTGGGAGTGGAGTAAAAGTTACTATAGCTGAAGGTGGTAATTGAAAACAAAAGATAATACAGAAAAGGGTGATAATAGGGACAAGGGGCTTAGCTAGGGGGAATGACAGCAAAAGGTAGGGCCCACAAGATAATGAAAAGGATAAATTAGAAATGAGATGTAGCTTCTGCACAGATGCCACAAGGAATACGATTAATTTTTGAACACTACATAATTATTTAGGCACCAAATTAATTCCTAAATTTTAGATGCTTAAGCGTCCGAATTTCCTGTGCTGTCTATGAAGAGGTCTTTGTGGCAGCCATAGAGACAGCATTTGTACAATTTGCTCCCCCCAGTGGTCTTTGTTGATGCTTTCCGATTCTTCAGAGTGCTAAAAGGCATTTATTTTAGGGAAACGGTTCCACAGGCAGCTAAAAAGTCTAAGACTGGATTACATGCTTATAAAATTACTTAAATAGTTTTAACTTTTTTTTTTTTTTTTTTTTTTCCCCTAAAATCATACAGAAACACTTGCGGAAAGTGTTTTTTTGGCGATTACTCTACAGCAAGAATTACAGAATCCTCACAAAACAGACTTTAACATAAAAGTGCTAATAAAGTGAGAAACGAGGACTTTCAGTGTTGCATTTGTTTGAACGATGCCTGGTAACACAGGTAACGTGGCATACAAACACAGACACCACCGCTGCCTTCCACGAAGTGGCTACTTGATGAAGCCAGATTAGCTCCCAAGGGAAATAAGAAGTAACAACTCTGACAGCACCTGCTGACGACAGAGCACGAATACAGTGCGAAACAACTCCCGAGAGCGAGGGTATCAATTGCTTCATTTAACACAAGCGCTCACAACTTTCCGAGGAAACGCCCTACATTACGACATCACCACCGTAACGCCGACACTGCTCCTATTTCTGAGAGGTTGCCACACCCCACCCCACCCCGCGGCGCCGGAAAAGGGCGGATAAACTTGGAAGTGACGCAATACTTTACGCAGGCCTGAGGGCAGCGTGACGGGAAAGGGAGGCGAGGGGAGAGAAGGGGCGGGGCGCCGCGCTACTGCGCATGCGCTCCATCACTCCACTCCCCCTCCCCCCCCGCCGCTGTGGCGGAGAGCGGCGCAGCGCGCTAGACGCACATCGCCCTCCCACTCGCGGCCGGGATAAGGCGTGGCGTGGCGTGGCCCGAGGGGCGCGTCATCAGCCGCGCGCCCGCTCGCCCGGCTCCGTCGTCCCCTCACCGCCGCGGCCCAGCGCGCAGGCGCAGCGACCCGCGGTCACGTGAGGAGGCGCTGCGGGTGTCGCCGGCGGCGCCGGTAGCGGCGGGTGGGGGCCGCGCGCCATGGCGGTCAACTACAGCGCGAAGGAGGAGGCGGACGGGCACCCCTCGGGCGGTGTCGGAGTGCCGGGCGGCGGGGCGGTGGGCGGCGGCGGCGGCGGCGGCGGGGGGGCCGTGAAGACTCGCAAGCCGGATAACACGGCGTTCAAGCAGCAGCGGCTGCCGGCCTGGCAGCCTATCCTGACGGCGGGCACGGTGCTGCCGGCCTTCTTCATCATCGGCCTCATCTTCATCCCCATCGGCATCGGCATCTTCGTCACCTCCAACAACATCCGCGAGTACGAGGTGCGCGAGGGGACGCGGCCGCGCACACGCCCACCCCCAGGCTTCTCCCGGTGTGGGGGGGCCGGGGCCTGGCCCTGCGCCCCGGGGAGGTGGGGGGGGGGGGGGGGGGCGGTGGTTTGGAAGCCCGCGGGGGGCGCCGGGCCGGGCCGGGCCGGGCCAGTGGTGTCCGCGATCGCCTTCCTGTAGGCCGCCTGCTCCTCCTCCCAAAACCTGCCGCCGTCTCTTTCTGTCGGCGGCGAGCGGGGCTGGCTTTAGTGGCTTCTGTGGCGAGCGGGCACCTCGCCCTGGCTCTTCCCATTCATTTTAATGTTTCTGCTCTATAACAAACCGTCCGTTAATTACCCCGAGGAGACGCTGAGTTTACAGAGCATCCTCGGCATAGATGGTAGCCCTCCCGCCAGCCTTGCCGGCGCTCCTGGGCAAACTTCCAGGGAAGTTAATGCCGGTGTTTAATCGACACAGCCCAACGCAAGTTTTGTTCTCAGCAACACAGGAAGTATCTGCGTCGTCCTCGGGATGGTTTGTGGCGATGGATTATATGTCTTTTGTATGTTTCAAAGTAATTGTGGTTTCAGGACAAAACTCTGGTGGGTGTATTGCTGTAGTTCTCGTGGGCACATGTTTTAGATGGCTTATGGGAGACCAAGGTGTCTGGAGTGAACTTAGAGACAAAGATTGAAGAGTGTGGCTTTTTTCTAATTATACTTTCAAAAATGGAGTTATTTACATCTGATAATTAACCACATCGCTGCTGTGAGAAGTTGCTGAACGTTAACTGAAAACTAAACTGTGTATCACAGTTAGGTCTGTTTGATAATAGAATCTGTATAGTAAGGAAAAAACCCAAAGGGCTTAGGGACAACCTTGAAAAGCCAATCGACAGGTATGTTTAGTTTCAGGGAGCTAATGTGAACAACACTGATTGTAGGAAAAAGAAAAAGTATAGTTGTTTGTTGGATTGTTGTATTGGAGAACATGAATTTTTGTGGATCAGACCTAGTTATCAGAGTAAGCTGTTGCTTTAAGCAGTGTTCAACACAGTGGCTTGGCTAGTGGTAGCAATGTGGCGATGAAGCCCAATTAACTAAAGAAATTCTGAAGCAGACAATGAATGGTATTATATTTTCATATTTCTGTTAAAACAAACAGTATTACGATAAAACCAATTTAAGGTTCACTTTCCTTTTATGTTGAGAACTAAAATTTCAGTCAAGACGAAAAGCAGAAGTGAAAAAAACAAAGCTGAAGTATATTTTTATGGTGTCCAAAAGTTGCATGTAAGCGTACTTTAGAAAAGCAATTGATTGTGTCAAGGTTTGAGAGTATGCAGAACATCTGAAAATTGCCATGCTTCAAAGCATGGGCATGTAGACCTCTAAATTGTTATGTTACAGTCATATTTAATGTAAATATAATCGCATGTTTTGAACAGGAGAGAAGTAAAAAAAAAATCCTTGTTAACTCCCTTTTTTCACAGTTGCATTTAAAATAGCCATTTCTACAGTAAAGCAATACAAAACCTTAGCTCATAATGATTATAAGGTAAGTATAATTGGGTAAATATATCTCCGTTTTATTTCATTATGACTGGATCTGTGTTGATCTATAGGGACAGGAAATGCATAAGAGTTTCATGAGTCCAAAAATGTAAGCAACTTCTCGTGCCTATATTGCTGATGTATGCATATACAGAATTTTTATGTGTTCTTGTTGCTTAGCAGCTCAGTCATGTACTTCTGATAAGTTCCAGTAGGAATCAAAAACTAGATGTTCCTACCTGATGAGCAGTATGAAAATCCATAGGTGAGCTGGGAGCAGGACTGATGCTCCTGTACGCAATCAGATTGCATATATAACGTAGTAGTAGCCACTTGGAAACCAGTTGGCTGGCGCTGGCCTTCCACCCCTCCTAATTTCAAGATATTCAAGAATGGAAAGGGTTTCATTCTTTTGTTTGTTTTACTCTGTGTGTTCACTCTTGTATCATCCACCTCATGTGGAGCTCACCCAAGTCAGATCAGTAGGCTTTCGTGAGGACAAAGAGGGACAGAATTCTTGACATCTGAGAGTATAATCAGACAGTTGGGGTATGCAGGTAAAAATGGGGAAGATAGGCTTCTGTTCTCTGATCCTCATGCGTGTTTTATCAAGTGTTATAATGCAGAAATTCTCTGAGATCATTCTAAAGGCAGCTGAATTTTAGAAAAATAAAAAGTTTAAATCAAAAAAGGCTTTACAGTTGCAGCAACAAAATGTAGATGAAGCATTTTACAGACCAGTGTTTGGGCTCTGAACACCAGTGAGGTATGCAGTTCACCTACATGCTTAGCTGAGATATGTCCCTGCTTAGTATGCTGGCTTTTGTTAGTAACCTCCAAAAGTTATTCACAAATAGCTGTAAATTTAGCTCTGGAAGACAAGACATCTAGAAGCTAGGTGTGGTGACTAAGCTCTTTTAAAAATGTAAGAGGAGGAGGAAGCAGAGGTAGTTATTTACACCTATGTCCTAGACAATAGCATACTTGTTAAGTTCTTGTGTGTGTGTAGAGAGAGAGTTGCCTGTAAACTTAGTGTATTGTAATTGAATAGGATGTATAATTTATGACGCTGAAATACATACTTGTGTACAGTTCAAATCACCCTTTCCTGGAACTAGATATTGCACCCATTAGGATCTCTGTGAACTGTGCAGTTTTCATACAGGTGCAAGGACTGAGCAGCAAAATGTAGCTTTTCCATTGATTTCCTTTATAAGCTCTCTTGAATTCAACTGTGGAAGATTTCCAAGAGCTTAAGTATACTAGAACTATAAGGGGGTTGTGTTGTTCTTTTCTCTAGTATTTTCTCGCTGTTTCAAAGGCTATAAATGGCCATTTATATTGGGTCTATAATGAAAATAGTTTATTTGGGTGGACAATTAGAATCAGCTGTGTAAATGTGTCTTTTTACCCTGTTACTAAAGGATGAAAGTGTTCTGTATTTCCTGATTGTTTGTTTTTTGTGGTTTGTTTTTGTTTGTTTGTTTGTTCGGGTTGTTTTTTTTAGAATGGATAAGAAGCATTGACAGAGCATATTAATATGTGATTAAAAATTGAGGAATATCCAAAACAATAATTGTGTAGGAAAGATCTGTCTGCTGTGATTGCTGCTGTGAAATGCATAATCACAGTTAAAACACCAGATAGGCTTTAAGGCACGACTAGGAATGAAGAACTGAAGTAGGTTACTGTTGCGTAAATCTTCAGTGTTCTGTGCAGTTCCAGTAGCCCCATCTCAAAAATTATACAAAACTTAATAAAACCTACAGGGAGGGATAGCAAAGAGCACCAGAACTGTGGGATGCCTTCCTTGTATGAGAAGTGGCCAAGCAGAGTAGGATAAATATGTCACAGTGTATGAAGCCTAAAAAATCAGAAATGGTTTGGAGAATATGTATATGCAATAATTTTTGTAATTTTTATACTGCAAACACTTAAATCAACTGAGAAAGACATCAACAGCCTGAAAAGCCATTGGTGCTGGATAACTTGGATATACCCAATGCCCTTAGGTCAGGGGTTGCTGGGAAGGGCTCCCCGTGTGGGTTGGTTATCCACTGCTGCTGTCTGATCCCTGGGGACAGAATGCTGGGTCAGGCGGGTTCCTGCTGTGGACCCCCAAGTCAGTCCTTCAGTTCTTGCAGTCCTGGTTTTGTTACTTTGTCAGGAGGTGAAGACAGATACCTCTATCCCTTTAAATAAGGTCATTGTTGAAAGCAACCAGTAAATGTGGACGCAGAAAAAAAACACTTGTGTTGGCAGTTACTGTACAGGAAAGCTCTTGGATAGCATTGAAGCTGATAGCAGTCAAACACACGGTTCTTTTCCAATGTACATCAATTTAATGCTCCACAGAATTTAGTTAATTATATTTTTAAAAGTGAAGTCTTCAGATCTTTTGCAGCCTTGGAGTATTTGAGTTTGTTCTTGATCTAAAACTTCTCCACACGGTGGAGAACTAGCTTGGGCTATGGAGGCTTAAGTGCTTTCTAAAGTAAAAGCTTGCTTAAGCCTACTTTTAGCAGGGAAAAAAACCCCACTGAGTTACAAATGCAATGCGTTGTTTGTTGAAAGCAGTGGTGGTCTGTCTGTCTGCTGTAGCTATAGAGAGCTCTTCAGGACTGCTGCAGTAGTGCTATTTCTAGATCAGCATAAACTCAATATCTTGTGCAGCAAAGGAAGCAAAGATTATGTGTTCCTCTCTCTCTGCCCCCTAATAGCCTCTGAAGTGGACTCGGTTCGGCTAGGCTCGTTAGGGTGTAGGTCTTATCTGTCAGAAATCTGGCAGCAGAGCAGATACTAATAGAAGTGCTGAGGGAAGGATTGCAGCTTAATAGATACCAAAGAAATCACAGGAAGGGAGACCTTGAAGAAGATATAGAGGAAAGTAGGCTTCAGTTGTTTCCTGATTCTTGAAACTGTGTATTTGTTTTATCTAACCTTAATACAGGTATTAGTGTGATTTTAAGATCTGTCCTAATGATTGATAATATCTTTCACTACAAGCATAAATCAGGGCAAACCCTTTGCAGCAGCCTTTCATAAAACTGTGTAGGCATTATAGTTTAAATGATACTGCTGTTAAAGAGTTTGTTGCAATAACTTGGTGTATGTTGCACCAATCTGGGCCTAAATTCTAAATAGGGGGTTCGTAGTAAGTGTGGAAACACATGGTTTATAGGCAGATGGAAGCTTTCTTCTGCTAACACTTGGAGCTAGCCTGCTGAGCCCAAGTTAATGATTTCCTGCCATTCACATGCTGGAACTATGCATGAGAGAGAACCGATGTGGTCAAGCGACTTCTGTTGTCTTGGGCCATAGGATGAGCTCATAGCTATGCATACTGGCTAGGTAGCCCGAATGCACAGATTTCAAATACTGGCTGGTTTTGAGCTACACTATTAAAGACAGATAATATTGTATAAGCCAGATGAACACTGAGCATCTTTCTTGTCCATCTACTGGTATTTTACCATTCCTGGCAAAACAGTATTAGTGTCTTTGTCTTCCCTGTTTTAGGATAGTTCTTAGGCATTAAGTGATTTTTTTTTTTTTTTTATTTTTTTTTTTTTAATCTTTTGACAGATGGCTAAAAATGGTCAGCAAAGCAAGTTTTGTAATGCAACCTTCTTTTATTAATTATCAAGGCTTTTAAAAACTTTTTGGAAAGCATGCAAAAGCTCGGAACTGCTTGCCATATATTTTGTGTGTATAAATGTAAAGTTGTTTGGGGTATCTGTTGTTTGTGTTTTGGTGTGTGTTTTTTGTTTCGTTTTGCTTTCCCCCAGCAGTAATGGGCTACCCCAACATTAAATTTGTTTGAGGCTGAAATCAAGCATATAGACAGAATCACAAAATTGTTTAGGTTGGAAGTGACCTCCTGAGATCATCAAGTAGGCCTGAATGGGCTTTTGGAGTTGAGGTGTAATAAGATTGCAAAATAAATGCCATGTCAACTCTCTGGCTTATTAATCACTTTTCTTTACTCTGCTATTGTGAATTAATGACTCTTTCTGTTACAGATTGACTATACGGGAACAGAGCCTTCTAGTCCCTGCAATAAATGTTTAAATGTGTCCTGGGACAGCACAACACCTTGTACTTGCACCATTAATTTTACCCTGGAACATTCATTTGAGGTATGCTACCCTGTATGCAAAATGAAATCAGGACAGCTTATATGGTTTTTCATTATCAATAGAAAAGCTGTATCACTTAAGGGTTTGTATTTTTTTCTTATTTTAAAGGATTATTTCTAGTTTTTCTATGAGGTTGGATCTAATTTTTGTGTGTCTCTTCAGTAGCAGGAATGAGATGGTTTTTAATGCCTCTGTTTATCTGGAAATGTACAACATTACATGGAGTGCTTGTGTTTTACACGTGTAGATTTGTCATGTGTCATACAGCTGGTGAGTAGATCAGCTGTTCCTGCAGGATTTAAAAAAACTCAGATAGGTGCTTTCTGACAGATTGGAGGCAAACAATGAGCCTTATGTGCTTAACCCAGGACAAGATAGGTGTTGTGATTAGTGATGGTGAATATAATTGTGATAGTTTGTGGCATGTTTGATTTCAGGAGGCCAGCTAATGTTAGGGTAGTACTCTTACGTACTCAGTGTGAAGAAGGGGTTGAGGTATCCTTTATAAAGTAGCTGTAAAGGAAACACAGAGTTTAAGAGCTTAAAATTTAAGTTTTGTGTAAATGAAAACCCCTCTTGTCCCATCTTGCTTCTTGTAGAGCAATGTATTCATGTATTACGGACTTTCCAACTTCTATCAAAACCATCGTCGTTACGTGAAATCTCGAGATGACAGCCAACTAAATGGAGATAACAGTTCACTACTTGTAGGTATTCATGCTTGGATATTAATAAGTAACTTAACTCCTATTGCATAAATCACCACATAGCAGAGTATGTAGTTCAATGAGGTACTAGAATTTTTGCTTAACAGAAGACAATCATAAGGAATTCATATTTTGTTTACAGAAAATAACGATGTAATACTGTAAAATTTCATGTCAATCATTAAGCAGACAGCACTGCAGTACTTCAATTGCTTCTCAGATTTTAATAGTTCTAAATTCTCTTGTTATCTTCAGTCAGTAGTATCTATCTGTATCCATTCTGTCTGAAGTTTTTGTTTTCAGTATAAAATAATACTTGGTTATCTAGCACTTGGCTTGGATGTTGCAGCTAAATGCATCCATTTTTGAAGACTCTGGTTCGATATTGAACATCGGCAGTGGTGGAAAGTATCGGTACTGTGTATTCTGTTCAAGGCACTGTGTAATGTTTAGGGCCAGATGTCTTAATTTCCTAATTTTTATGAGGAGTGAAAATACAGTTGGGTTCTTGCTCCAGCAAGAATGATTCTCCATTTTTACCTGTAAACTTTAAAAATGGGGAGAGTTTTAGGAGGCTGCATCTGATGACTGACACAGGGTTTGGGTGGGGTGCTTTTTCTGCTTACATTCTTGGCATGCAGCCTTGGAGTCCTTGCAACCTTCTGCATTTTGTTACGCTTGCTTTATTATTATAGTCTTTCTGTAGCACTGATGTATACTTTAAAAAAAAACCCTCTTTGATAAAATAATACTTGGGTCCTTCATGTTGGAAAACTGCTTCTAATAAAAGATAAAAGAAAAAAGCTCCAATACCTTCCAAGGAAAGCCTTATTTTTAGTATGACCATGATGGGAGTCTGACTTTATTCATGTTTTATTTAGATTTTATTTCTACTTGTAAAATAAAGATCAGTCACACTAACTAGTATTAAATGCTGAAGTATTTGTAAATAACCTAACTTGTGAAAAGATTATTTTGTGGTACATTTAAAATGTGCAGATTGTTGAAGTACTATAGTAAAAAACAGGTTAGTTGAATAAACTAGCACAGACTCATATGACTTTTTTTCTTTCTAACTATCAGAATCCAAGTAAGGAATGTGAGCCTTACCGCACAAATGAGGACAAACCCATTGCTCCTTGTGGAGCTATTGCCAACAGTATGTTTAATGGTATGGTAACACATTTACGTTATCACTTAACGTGATTACATACAGTTCTGATCTAGTGTATGTTTTGTGTTGTGTTGCAAATTATTCTGAGTAAAGACACCATAGGATTTTTTGTTTTGAATTAACACATTTTTATTGTTCAGTAAAAAATAAGTATCTTATATTGTACTGCTGTTACTTTTTTTCAAAATTGCTATGAGAATTAGTTTAATCTGATAGCATACAAAGGATGGAAATACCTCTTGTGAGAAGCTGTTACTGCTGTGGAGTAGAAATGTAGATAACATATGGATAATATGCTGCTATCTAATATACACTGATTCTTACAGAACAACTTGTGATTGTGGCAGGCAGGTAACAAATGCCTTGTCCAGTTCTTTTGGTTTGTTTCTCTCGGAGTTAATTGTTTTGTTGCCTACTGGGATCATCTGTCTAATGCAAGTTTCTTCAGCTGGTTTTCTAATTTGATTTTCTGTTTAGATACATTGGAATTATACCGCATTGATAATGACACAAGGACTCCTATTACTTTGATTAAAAAAGGTATTGCGTGGTGGACAGATAAAAATGTAAAGTTCAGGAATCCTACAGGAGATGGAAATAACTTAACTGCACTTTTCCAAGGTAAAAAAAGGAAGATGTGAAATTTTAAGAATAACAAAACACTTGAAATGCAACTTGCATCAGTGAGTTTTACCTCACTGACAACGCTTTACTGAACTAAATTAAAACATTGTGGTTTTCTGAATAAATCCAAGCTAAGGACTACTCTGGTATCTAGAAAGATTGTCTTTAAATAATGAAAGCTGTACATTTTACATGAAAGTGTTTGGTTTTTATCTTTACTGTATTTTTTTTTTTTAATTCTGAATACTTGAATTTCTTGAATACTGAGAAAAGCCTAATACGTGCACTGCTGTTGTGTTTTAACCCCAGCTGGCAAGTAAGCACCACACAGCTGCTTACTAACCTTGCCCCTGCCGAGGGGGATCAGGGAGGAGGATCGGAAGTGTTAAAGTGAGAAAACTTGTGGGTTGAGGTAAAGAGTTTAATAATGAAAAAAAAAAAAAAAAAAAAAGTAAGAAAAAAACCCCAACCAACAAAGAGAGGGGAAAATAAAACCCAAAGACAACAAGTGATGCAAAAGACAATTACTCACCGCCGACCTAGTCCCTGAGGAGTGGCAGCCCCTGCCTACCTCTACCCGCCCAGTTTTATGTGGAACACAATTCCATAGGGTGTGGGATATCGCTGGGGTCAGCCGTCCCAGCTGTGTCCTATCCCAAACTCTTGTGCATCTCCAGCCTTCTTGCTGGCAGGCCAGTCTGAGTTGCAGAAAAGGCCTTGAGGCTGTGTAAGCACTGTTCAGCAATAAATAAAACATCGGTGTGTTATCAACATTGTTTTCATCACAAATTCAAACCACAGTAGGATAGAGGCTGTTTTAAAGAAATTTAACTCTATCCCAGCCAAAACCAGTACAGCTGCTATAATGCTTGGATTTAACTTGAAAAGAAATCTTGCAGTTGTTTAATCAGACTCTTCATATGGAGTTTTCATTTAAATGCTTCAACTCCACATTATGCAAAGTTTTCTGAAAAACTGATTCTTTTTTGTAATTAGAAGTGACTGATGTCTCTTACTTGGTTATATACAGTTTGGTAAATCAAAGTTATCTTTGGCTACTAATGTCTGAAAACAGTATTTCTCGAGGCTCTAAGGTGTGTGTGTGTTTATGAGAGGTATATAGTAATTTCAGGTTTAACCTGATGTGGGTTTCTTGCTTAGTCATAGCCAAATTACACGTTACCAATGTGAGGCTACCCTTGGAAAAGAAGATACCTTACTCTAATACAGTGTAGAATTGTACTTCCAATAAAATTAGTAAAGCATTAGTATGGTATTATCTAAAATACAGTACGTAGTTTTTGTTCATGGTTCAGGAAGTGGTAGTCAAACTAACAAGTGAGCGAGGAGCTATCATCATAATGGAGAACTAGCTCACTAATATTTTGAGACAAGACTTCCTCACTGTATAAATGTGTAGGGGAGGCAGATTTGTTTAAACAGATGGACAGTGCTGTCATGAGAATAAATGGATATGCACTACTATTTAAATGCTGCAAAATAAAATGTTTTTAAGCAGCCTAGTGTCTTCCAATAGTAATGAGTCAACTTGTCCTTACTGTTCAGAAGTTAGTACGTTTTTTTGTAGCATTGGAATGAATTTTGATGAGGCAGTGTGTTAGTCCTGTATTTGAAATAGTTTATTTTTGTTTAATCCTAGGCACAACAAAACCTGTAAACTGGCCCAAGCCGGTGTATATGCTGGACTCGGAGCCCGACAACAATGGCTTTATCAATGAAGACTTCATTGTGTGGATGCGTACTGCTGCGCTGCCAACATTTCGCAAGCTCTATCGTCTCATTGAAAGGAAGAATAACTTACAGCCTACCTTACAGGCTGGAAAATATTCTTTGGATATTGCATACAGTATCCTTTGAAAAACCTTTGAAAGTGGCTAAGGGCCTCAGCTAGATTACACAAGCATATATTTGTGCAAATTGAAATTGAACTAGCCTTTTGTCTTACCATCTCCAAAAAAAAAAATGGTATTGAGCTGTGGTTGAAAATTGGTAGTGAGAACTGGGTAAAATATTTTATTCTGTGCAAATTTTTATAGAATTAGTAGCTTTATAGTCAGAGTAAAATCATATTGCTCGGGTGCTGTAAAGGAATTGAGAGAAGCATAGGGAAAAGGAAAGAGGTAGTTGGTAGACTAAAAATTTGAGAACTTCAAGTTGTAATGACAATATGTAATTGTGGGCAGACTGATTTTGAAGGTTAGAAAAATGCCAAAGCTGTGGATCAGGTGGGGGTCTGTCATTCTATTTTGGACAAACTAAAGACTTAGGTAGGAGTGCAGGAGACTAGAGGAGGAAGGTTGTCATAGTTACTAAATTCTTAAAATCCAAAAGCACTTAATGATAATTTAAAAATAGATATTGCAGTATTTTCCTTTGCTGCAAAACTGTGGAAAGTGCATATAAAGCTGAATGATCATAAAGAAAAAATGTGTACTAAAATATATTCAAGAATTAAAACTTAGATTTTTCCCATTTTATTTAAGCTGCTTTCAAAAAGCCACAAAATCATGCATTTACTCTTCCCTTGAAAAGGAGTTAGCATCTTCTAATGTGACATTTTTCTTGGAGTAGCTGACAGTGCCCGGATTGGTCTTAGCCTAAAGGAACAGCTAAATGTTTTATATTTGCACTTCTAGTATTCAGGGGCAGCAGTTTGTATTTGGAGCCTGAGTGAAATGACCCAAAATTTTAATGTGCCTGACAGTGTAAGGCTAGATTTGGAAATGTGCTTCTTGTTTTCCTAAATGTTTTTCAGATTATCCTGTACACAGTTTTGATGGACGAAAAAGAATGATCCTAAGCACCATCTCGTGGATGGGAGGCAAAAATCCCTTTCTGGGAATTGCTTACATCACTGTTGGGTCCATATGCTTCTTCTTAGGAGTTGTATTGCTGATCATCCATCACAAATATGGAAATCGAAACACTAGTGCAGACATTCCTAATTAATTTTGCATTCTGAAAACAAATGTACTGCATGTGCATCAAGGCCAGTCCAGGATGGACCCAGTTTTTGAAAGATAAATCTCTGCTTCTGTCACTTCTGAGACTGGGTACCTATTTTTTTTATCTAAAGCTCTCCTTTCCCATACTGTGGATTAACTCTTGAAAAATGACGGGTGTACAATTAGCTATATTGATTGTATCTCTGCCTATGTCAGAAACAATTTTCCTGGTATTTGCCTCTAACTGGGCAGGCCACATGATGCATATAGCTCCTGTTCCCTTGATGCATCTGCTGCTTGTTCATGTGCTGTGTAATGTTGGTATGATTCAGTACGTATAGATTGTGTGGAGAAAGACTGCTATAAGATATTGTAAATTGTTAACTTTCCAGAATTCAGGTGTCAGTGCTGTTGAAAGGAAAAGTCAAGTCTTAAATGTTTTTCAATTTATTGTCTTGTGTGCATGGGCTCTTACATTTCTTGCTGAGATTTTAATATATTTATATAAGTTGTTAAATATTTTTCCTGTCTCCTACCCACCTCTGTTATGTTAAATCCTTTAAGTGCTGTGTAAATTTCAGCACTCTGGATTATTTGTATATTTACAATATATGTGCCTGGCCAGTAAACTAACATCCTATGAAGATATCAGAAAACCTATTTGTTAATTATTTGTGTGAGTCCCATTTAAGGACTGTTCTAAATTGGGAAATGTTTGTTGCAGCTAAATCTGCTTTTTTTATGATTTTCTTTGCTTTAAGTCATATCCAATACTAGTTTACCCATTGTGCTTGCTGGTTTTGCTTTTTATGAGCAGCTCCAAGCATTAGTCAAGAAGAACCTAAAATGTTTTTTCCGTTTGCAAAGTTGGGTGAATTCCTTTTACTGGAGGAGTTTCCTAATTTTCTCGAGGCATATGTATTCTGAGCAGGCTTTGTAGAGGTATTGTTATATACTTTTTCCATATTTGGAGTGAACACCACATTAATTTTTTGCGGTGTTAAGATAGTAAACTGTAGAAATTCAGAAGTTGAGATGGCAGTAACCTCTTTTCAGTGAAATGCAGGTTGAGCTTGCTGTGAAATCTAATTTAAATATTGCAGTTAAAAGCAATGTACGGGTTAGTGTCTTAAATTACAGAAGGGTTCACTTTTAGGTTAAATAAAAGTTAGCTGTAACCTGTAAAATACTACTTTTTGGTGACTTTTTTTTTAGGTAATGCACAGAAATTGTAATGTATATGGTGGAGATGACTTTATAGGCAACTAGCTTGATGAAGTATTGAGTATATTAAAAAAGACCTGATAAATTCTGCAAACCATTTAATAAGAGATGTTATTTTGTTATTGAACATACATTTATTTTCATCTGAATGAAAAGATGTATTCTTAAGTGTGAATGCAGTTTAAGCAAGTTGTATTTCTGAGATTGTATATTTGTTACAAAAAGTTGTTTATTCATGGTGCAACAGCTTAATCCATAGCCATCTTTAAAGAACACAGTTTATCACATAAACATATGACCGTTTTTACTGAATTACTTGAGTAATCTTTTTAAGCTAGCGCTTTAAGTGTGTAAGTCTGTATAAACTATTGAATGAGGCAATGTTTCCAGTGTGCTAGCTTTCTGTAACTCCATTTAATGATTTGTTGGCATAGTGCAGTGTGGCAGCACAGGCCTTTTAAATAGTCAAAGGATGTTAAAATTTTATTTACGGTGTTGTATCTATGTTGCTGGACTTACGGAGCAAGGGTATGTACCTTTGTATGCTGCAAGGCAGAAAACACACAAAATGGTAAACTGGCTTTCATCTGTAGAGTAGCTGCTAGGCAAAATATAGCAAGCAAGTAAGGGGGTATTTCCCAATTACTGGATATTACAATATTTTTAAACTTTGTGTTTGCATGTGAAATGCAAATATATTCTGCTTTTCATAATCCCTATCTTTTTTCAAGTAGGAAATGCTGCTTTTTGGGCTGTGTTCAGAATTAAAAACAAGGTATTTTTCTATCTTTACCTTAAAATATTTTTCAATGCCTTACCTTTTTTCTATTGATTATGGCTGTCAGTGCTTCTTTGATCTTCTTAATGAGGTATACTGGGATGAGAATTTCTGTCTGGTTTTTGTTACAAATAAGCTTTTTTTTCTGAGAGCCTGTAGCAGTAAATATTTGTCAGGCAATATGCTTGATGGACAGTGTGCCTGAGGAGCTTAAAATACTTAAAAGCTTATTAGGTCAAATTTGTAAACTCCTTCACTCATGCTCATTTGTCTTGATGTCATGTTCATTACTATGGGGATCCTTGGATTTTGTTTCTTAAAAGTTGCCCATATATCACTTATATCACGTGTTCAAAGGTGAAACCACGGTGTCCCTGTCTGACACTTCTCAGGGCAGCATCAGTGTCCTAGTGTTCACTGTCATGTGTTGAATTTGGATTTGACCACCTGTGACCTGGTTCTTGAGTGGCATCCTTCACAGGTATTTGCTGTCAGAGTTCAGAAATACAAAGAGCAAAACCTCTGCTTTCTGCTTCTTACCCAACTGAGGCAGTGCCCAAATTGTGAGAGATTATAAGCTTTCTGGAGGCTGCTGCCATTGTGAAGGTCTGCTTAGGAACAAATCTTTCTGGAAGACAGTAATTTGGGAAACTAGGGTATGTCTCTGTTTTATGCAAGAGCTCTGCAAACAAATTCTCTTGTGTGAGACCAACTTCGTTGTGGTTTCTTGTAAAAATCTACATCCCTGTAACAAAGCAGATTGTCACCTCAGGTGTTTTTTAAACCGCATCAGGCTATTTGGGGAGTTGTCGATTGTGCTTTGCTGAGTCAGAGGGAAGAGTTACCAGTTTATAACTGGAATGTGAAGGATCCTTCACAGCCTTTGCCTCCCAAGGTCACACTGGTACTGAAACTTGCTTCTCAGCAGCATGGTTTTGCTTTAATTATGAATGTTAAACCTTGAAGAATGCAAGCCTCTTTTTTTTTTTTTAATAGAAATCTCTGTGGGAGGAAAGGCCATGACACTCTAGGGTCAAGTAACATCTGCAGACACATGTATCTGCTTGAATCCACCAAATAAAGCACACTGAATTCACAGGAGGCTTTCCTGACTGCACCTTTCTGTCAGATGCCCTACCTGCAGTGAGAAAATAAGGGTTACGATGTCTGTAGACAGACAGATGTCCAAGACTGATTTGAAGTGAGTGTGTGGTGGAAAAATGTGACTAAGTCTAAAGCAGAATGTATCCACAGTTACTTTAAAAAAAAAGTTACTGATTGGAATGCAACTGCTGAAGACAGAACAAGGTGGAACCACAGAGTAATCTGGAAGCACTGCAAATGATTTTGATATTCAGAGTTTGCGTGATAAGAATATGGTTTCTGATCCAACCCCTTGGTACTACATAAGTTTGTTTTTTATGGAAGTTCAATATTTGTTACCTGGGGTTGTTCCCTGTAACTGAACTAACTAGCTATGATGAGTGAGAAATGAAGAGGGCTACAACACAAAGGCCTTTCAATCTTAAAATCAAACCAGTACCATGAGGGTTTTGTATTGACCTAGTCAGGGAGTTTAGAAAGAAAAACAATTAAAACCACAAACAAACCAACACCCCAAAATATTCCACATATCGCATACTTGTCTGTATTGAACAGCCTACCAAAAATTCTCACTTTCAAAGTAGGAGGGAAAGAAAGTGAAAATCTAAATGAATGTTATTCTTGCTCTCTTAGCAGTGTAGACAGTTTATGGAAGAGCTTGCTCCTAGCAGTGTGAAAATGGATTCTGAAGTAGAAAGCCCAGTTGCAAAAATTTCTTCTTTTGTAGTAAGTTTTCCTCAGATGAGAATTATTTTAATGTAAAGCTAGCCTACATTCTAGCTCATGGAATCTGTTCTGATCACTGTATTGCCTTCTGTGCATAAATGTGAGATCTAATCTTACATGACAGTTTCAATTAAGACTAAAGTCCATTATGAAATAGCCTGATAAGAATTAGCAGGTCCTCATATGACCTGAGTCTCAAATAAGAAACCACCTTCTGTTAAATCTCCCATTCCAAACGTGCTCAGCCTATGTTTGAAAATAAAAGTAATGCTATCATTTGAGTTATACCAACTGCTGCTAGAACGTCTGTAGTTGGGAATTTATCTTTCTCATTTCCTGTTAGGAATGAAATAAAGAGGAATAAAAGCATAAGTCAATAATTAATGAAACTTAAGTTTAAAACAATAATTGAAAGAAATAAGGTGGAGTTTTTTCTCACTGGACACTGATTTAAGATAAAGACATAAACAATTCAAGCAAACACTACTAGAGTTATGTAAAAGGTTAATTGAAGTTGTACGTGAGCATTGTGCCCAAATCTTGCACAATAAAATGGTGAGATGTTTTAAGTAGTGCTAGAGGGCCAGGAATGTAATGGATGACCTCACTAATTCTGTTATGAAAACAGGAAAGATCGAACTGTGATATTATTGGAAGAAATGAAAATTATTGCCTTCAGGCTTGCCCACCAAGGTCTGGAGTTACGTGGCTGAAGTTTGTGCATGCTTCACAATAGATGCTTGCAAACTTCAGAACAAATCTTTGTCCTTTCTGTCAGCAAGCTCTTTGAATGCAATTTTAGTGTATCATACAACTCAAAGTAACTTGGAAAATGGTTATAGTAAGATAAAATGCAGTTTGTTTTAGCTCTCCATACATAATGGAGCTTTTAACTGGGCTAGTCAATTATTTTGTTTGCAAGAAAAAAATAAACCAGTGGGCAGGTAAGGCTCGGGAGGAAGTTTAGGAAATGGTAATTTTCAGCTGTCCTGCTGCTCCAGGGGTTTCCACTTTCAGGGTTTGTTGACTGTTAACTCAGTTGTTTGTGTGATCTCTTTAGGGTTTACACACCCTTCTAACATACGTAGATTCTTCCTTTAGAATCGAATAGGCTTGCCTTTCATACAAATCTAGCATTGTTATTGGTTTCAGAGGTAAAACTTTTTTGGTGATAAATGCTTATTAACATATAGATTAACAGCCCTGTCTTCATTCTGGCTTAAACAAAACTGTTTAACAATGATTAACAATTTTATTTGTCACTATCTTACATGCAAAAGCTATTCTGTCCAGTCAGGAAAAAGCAGTCTGAGTTTGCTTCTAGTGAAATATCATCACCCTGAGGCAGCAAGTTGCCATTGCTCTTTCCCTCAACTTTTAGTTTCTTTGTAAATTAGTCAGCACTGAAGACACCAGCTGTGCTTGCTCTGGGAAGTCATCCTGTAGCTTTGATTGGTATGTAACCCACATACTAAGCTTTAAGTATGGCCTTTTGTATTATAAAGTGTATTTTGACAGACAACAGCTCTGAAGCTCGGATTCAGACATATCAGAAAACTGTCCACGCAGCAGAAATTAAGCAATAGTGATTTCTCAGGATTATGATCCTTTTATCAGTATCTAACTATAACAGAGTATTATATAAAAATCAGAATGTGCACTCACAAGATGAAAGATTGCAGGAAGAATGAATGAAAATCTGTCTTGCAGTAGTAGTAATGTATTCTAAGTGTTATTCTGTAACATCACTGCTTGAGTGTTTGAACACTATTAAGTAATGCATCCAATTTCCTCCTTTGTTCCAACACATTTTTCCGTGACTATGCTTTCTAAATGGTATTTTTAATATTCTACTCAGCTAAATCTATACCTATAAATACTTCTTCATCTTTGTGTTCTTAGTTTCTTTCTGGGGCAGCTCATCAGAATAAGTGCTGTGCTTTGAGATCCTTGTTATTTCCATACGAGATCGAGCACTGATTTGCTGTGTTTGACACACATTATTCATCGTGAGGTTTGGCACCAGTGCAAAAGCAGTATAATGCCAAAAACTGAGTGCACTGCAACTGCAGCAAAGCCAGGAAATAGTGTTCCCAATAGCACTGTATTTCAGCCTAAGGTTGAAGCACAAGGGGCTAGATCTGCAATGCAGAAAGAACACAGGCTTCTCAGAACACTTTCTTGAAGGGCAAATAGGTTCTTCCTTTAGAATCCAATAGGCTTGCATTTCACACAAATTGGCATTACTTTGCTGTCTGTAGTTATATATTTTGAAATATGAAACTGAAGTTGGGTTTTTTCACATGGAGAGTACTCAGTATCCCTGCTACTAATGGAGTTTGAGGTAGTGGGCAGGTACATTTTAGTTGTTTGGTTTTTTTTTCCCCTGTGTGTATAGCGGCGGAACAAGGGATGCCATGTCTACCCCAAGGGTGCAAGACCCCCTCAGCTGGGTCAGGCCTTGCTGTGTCCCATCTCCAGCAACAGCCAAAGGGGTTGTTGAGGGAGTCCATACAAGCAGAAGCACCCTGTGGTGGTAGTCTCCTGGGTCATGCTTCCAGTCCTCTGCAGGTCTGAAACTTTTTAATGAAAGGTGATTTTTTTTTTTTTTTTTTTTTGTTAATTTACGGTCTGTGTGTGGCAGCTCTGAAGGATGGGTCTTCTGCGGATTTGCCAATGTGCCGAATGGAGGCCGGGAAGCGGCCGGCAGCCACAGGATCCTGGGCCAACAACGTCCCTCACTTTGCGCCTCCTGGTTTGCTCCCCTGGCCTTCTTGTTGCTGGGCACGTTACCATTCCCACCTTGCCCTCCCTATCCCGCTGCTGGTGTTGGGGCGGGGGCTCATCTCTGGTTCCCGGGCCCCCCAAACCGCACAAACATCCCCATGGGAGCAAACATGGGCCAAAACTGGTGCCTTGCAGGAGGGGTGCGGGCTCCGGGCCTCGGCTACCACCACGCACCCGCTCGGGCACGGCGTGCTGTGCTGCCCACCCACCCCTCCCCACTCACACACCGGCGTTTGTTTCATGGGGGAGAGACCGCCGTGGGGGTGCGAGGAAGGGGACAGCCCTCCTTAACCCAGCCTGGTTTCTCCTCGTCTCCTCCTTCCTTCACACCGCCCCCCCCGCCGGGAGGACTGAGGCGGCCGGCGGGGCGAGGCGGCGCTCTAGGCTCTGCGGCGGCGCTCTGGGCGCAGCGCGGGAGCCGCCTCCCTGGTCGCTTCCGCTTCCGCTGCCCTTGGTGCCGGCGGGCGGTGAGGGGACCAAGAGCCGCGATGTGGCGACAGCTGCTGGTGAGGCCGCGGGCGCCGGGCCGGGGGCTCAGCCGCCCGCTACCCCCGGGGCAGCCCACGCCGTGCGTGGGGGCTCCCGGGTGCCCGCTGGGGCGGCGGGACTCGGTCGCGCTCACGCCGGGCGCTGCGGGAGGAGCCGCTGGGCCTGGGAGTCGGGGTGGGGTGGGGGAAGTGGTACATTTCGAGGGAGGGAAGTGTTACATTTCGGCGCGGTGGTGATGGGGGAAGTGTTGTATTTCAGGTCCAGCTCGCTCCGCCTAGTGCTGGGCTTGAGGTACTTGAAGAGATGGGAGTCGGGTCAGTGGGTCTGGGGTACGCTTAGTCCGTCTCTAAGGAGGTAAATTTTATAGTGTGTTTATTTGGGGTGGGTGAGGGGGGGAGGCGTGTTGTTCCGTTACTTGGAACCGGCACCGTTCGGCACGTTTGCCCCGTAGCTGCGTTTTTAGTGGTGGTAACGCGGCGGAGGAGGATCGGTGTTGTCAGTGCCGCTCGCCGGAGGCTGCTGGCAGCTGGGAGGTGCAGCTGGCTCTTTGAAGCTTGACGTGTTGGCGGAGGCAGACTTTGACCCATCGGAATAATTACAGATCATTGGTTTTCGTTTTGCCTGTGCTAATGAGCGCCTCTATAATCTGACTCTGGAAACAGATTCTAGCTTAGGACACAGCTGGGTGTCTTTGAAAGCTGTGTGTGGGTGTCTTCAGCTCTGTGAAGGTGTGCTGGTGGCTAGCAGGTGAACTGCAGCTGTGGCAGGAGATCCTTGTCTGCACAGACATATTTGTCTTAAATATTATTATTCCCATCGCTAGAGTCAGACACAGAAAATGGTGCCTAAAACTGAGATCCAAGAGACAGAGGTCGAGATTTCCCCCAAAAGGATGCTAATTATGAAGGTTATGCAGATCCATAGATCTGTTGTATCTTACTGAAAGTAATTTTCCTTTTTGGGTAACTAGTCAGTCCTTTACATAGTCTGTTGAAAAACTGACTGAATTCAAAACTAGTGGGTTGTAGTGATGTTTTGTTTGGTTGTTTTTTTTTAAAGATTTTCCTTTCTTTCTGTCCTTTCCACTTTTATCTTACTTTTAACAACTACTTCTATCCAGTGTGGATATAGCTGAAAAATGTAACTGTTTTTAAAACACTGTTTATCTTTTATTTCAGGGTCTTCGCCAAATTTCCCAGAGGACCATAAGCACTGCTTCACGCAGGCAGTTTGAAAATAGAGTTCCTGAGAAGCAGAAGCTTTTTCAGGTAATGTGTGAACACTGATAGTAGAATAATGTTAGTAGAATAACAAGGTCCCAGTCTGTCGTAATTGCATAGGTTTTGTTTCTAAAGAACTGGTGAAAGTCCTCTTTACATCTGAAGTGAGCTCTTGAAATCAGTCATATGACTACAGTGTTTGAAATCAGCAGTTATTTTCTACAGAGATTAAGAGTATTTGTACATACATACTTGACTTGCTGACTCTTGGGGGCTTTTTACCCTGTGAAATGATTTGTACCTGAGTTTTGTATGAGTAGCAGGTACTGTACAAAGATAAAGGCAAAGTATTCTGAAATGAGATGAGATGAGGGGAGCATGTCCTAAGAACAAATAGAGAAAAACAGGAAGAGGACAGAAGTAGAGTGAAAAGCCTGCAATCTTACAGCCATATCCACAGCTCATAGATGAACCCCATAATTCTTAATGAGAATGTGGTATTATTGTACTTCTCAGTTTTTAAAACAGTAAAGGTCTGAAGTGGTTGGATTAATTCCTAGAAAATTATTGAATCTTTAAAAATAATTTCTGAATTACTCTCTTCCTGGTTGATAGGGCCACCTAGTGAGAACTAGTGGTTTTTCAAATGCCAAAGCAGTGGATACTCAAGAGCATGCTCCCAACTGTAAGCCATAGCCTGGAGCAGTAGCTTCATACTGAGAATAGAGTAGACTGGGCTTCAGCTCTGCGAAAGGGGAAGAGAGTGTTAGAAGCCCCAGTTTAATAGTTTTTGTGTCTTGTTGCTTTCCTTTTCCCTGAAAGAGAAAGCCAGTCTTGTGGGGACAGTGCCGAAGGAGCACAGTGTTTGTTGCCAGCCAAGGGCCTGCGGGATGTTGATGATGGGGGAGGTTGGGGGCTCTGTGTCTGCTGGTGAAGATCTCTGCAGGCGTACCTCTTCCTCTTCCCACTCCTTTCTGGTGGGGCAGCACACTAAGTTGGGTTGGGTTGCAGGTCACCAGCGCTGGAGGCCGGCTTGAATTCCAGAGCAGCGTGAACTTGCTGACAAGGGTAAAGATCATGTGGGTCTGGTGTCGAGAAGTTTTACTTCAGGTGGAGCAAACCAATTTCCTGTGTGACACCAGGTGACAGTAGAGGATCCTCCCTTGTCCTGCTCTATAGCAGGGATTGACTGTGCTGGACACGGGTGGAAGGTTTCTAGGGATGGTAATCCCATCCTGTGCACCCAAGGGGGCCGGCAACTGGCGTCAGAAGTGTTCTGGCATCTGCCAGTCACAGCTGTAGAAACGAATGTGCACATCATTTATTGTTCTTCCCTAGTGAGTGATCACCTGATACCAGAGTGAAAGCTTGAAAGTCAAAGCGGGATCTGAACAAGCTTCTGTTTCTTTTGGGAGTTGGGACGATAATTTGGGAAAGTAATTCTTCTTGTGGGTAATTCTAGTTACATTAACACAGTATTGCAAGAATGGTATTTAAATAATTTATTTTTGTCACTTGTTTCCATTAGGAGGATAATGGCATCCCAGTGCATCTTAAAGGTGGTATAATGGATGCTCTGTTGTATAGAGTCACCATGGGTCTTACAGTTTTTGGTAAGCATACTACTAAAATATTTATGTTTTGGTACAATTTCCAACATGCTAATATTAAAATAGTTTTTCTTTGGTACAATCTCCAACATGACCAGTGTTTCCTCTGTAAATTAGCTAGGCAGTTCCTTCAGTCTGTTCTTTAGAACATGCAAAATGCATGTAGAGAAGGAAAAAACCCCACACATTTGGACATACTATATATTTATTTGTGCGTTCTCAAGTTTAGCTTTTCAGTTGGCTTTTTTCCCCTGACTAATAGTACTGTGTGCTGAATACTTCTTCAGAATTCACGTATGATGACAGAAGAAACTAGAGCTATGTAGAAAGCTTATTGTGAAATGGAATAAAATGTGATTATAGCACATACATATACTGTTTTTCTCACTAGCCCGACTCTTTTTAGTGCTCGGTGATACTTGAGGTGCTGAGATTTCATATGCTGTGAAAACTAGCAGAATATATGCTAGCTTTATGAGACTGTATATATCTAACCTTCACGGTGCTTGTTATGTAGTTTTGTAATATCCTCTAACTTAAATATGTTAATCTAATGGATTTTCAGTTCAGTAACTTTAAGAATGAGTAACCATTAATTAATGATTGTGTAGGTTCCACAAACATGCCTCTCCCTTTTTTTTTTTTTCCCCTGTTTCTTTGTTTTTATGCAGTCTATGAAGAGGTATTTAAGGATTTTTTTTTTCCCTCTAAAATATGAATAGCCAGAAGAAAAAAATTAATTTAAATGTGGCTATGGAAATATGTTGTGCCTGAATTGCATCTGCTTATTGTCAGTGTTTCTTATGGAACAAACTGGGAAAGGAAAGCTGGCTTGAAAGGAAATCTATTTACCATTCTGAAAATATCTTTTCTGTTTCTTAATTCAGGAACAGCCTATGTTGTTTACGAGCTATATGTCGCTTCAATGCCCAAAAAGCAGAAATGATTCCAGTTCAAGATACCTCGGTGACTAGCATCTCTTCGTCCAATTCCATGTGGCTACGATGGCAGCTTCTACTTATTATAAGCAGCTGGTTTAATGCTTGGAATCATAATTTAATCATAACATGTTAACTGCAATCAATAAAGCAGTTTTTATGTTGTGTTGTGGTGGTCTGGACTGTATCATGTGTTCCACACTGGCGTGCTTTTTACTTTCAGTGAATGAACTTTGAGTTGATCAATATGCAGATCTTTGAATTGTGAGCCTCTTTTCTTTGCATATGGTTTATGTTAGTTCTTCAAAGGTGAGTTAAATGCCTTGAATCCCTATGAGAAAGTGATATCTTGTCTTTGTTACAGTAATTTCCTCTTCTTGCTTTAGGGGAGCAAATTAATCTTATAATAAAAGTTTAGGATTAGATTAAATTTGTGTGAAAATGAATGTTGAGGACTTGGTGATTATGCTGTATCTTTGCTGTCAACTGCTGGAAGTTGACTGTAATACAACTAGAAGAATCTGATTCCTGATCACCATCCAAAGATGACAGTTTTTATTATGCAGTGTTGGTAACACTGTCCTCTAGCTTCAGGGGCTTGGAAGTAGTCTCAGTTGAATTTGGCACCTTCATCTAGTAGATTTTTTTTTTTTTTTCCAGTGGCTTTTCTCTACTACAGCTTAATGGAACATCGTATTTCCTAAGAAGATCGAAGATTTCTTAGCACGCCAATAGGATTAGCAAGTAATTGTGTAATTATCTTGCTGCCCATGAAATCAACACATGTATGTTAATCATGATTAAGACTTGGTAGTCTTCCAACATTGCCTCATGTTTCAGGTGGTTAAAGCCAGCTTGTTCTCAGTCATTAGGGTAAATAAAGCAATCAGCTCTTTAGCATAAAATAAGAAAACGTTTATTAGACAATTTGAGAGTGTTCTAGAGCAAATAGTAAAGTAGAGGAGGGGCACAATAAGTTCACTAATTCTAACTGTATTAGTGCAGTGCTAGAATTTCTCATTGAAAAGTTTACAGTGACTTAATTAGACAGATTGCTGATTTGATCTAGGCTGAATTAAACCCTATTAAACCAGAGATACTGAAGATACTTAAGGCAGTGTTTATAACTGTTTCAAAGCCTTACTAATTTTTGTCAGTTTTTAATGCTCTTTTGGAATAATCTCCAGTGCTCTCTGTAACTTTGACGATAGGCTAAAGGCTTGGAGAGACTGCCTGCTGTCTCACGAATTGTGTTCATCTGTAGTTTGAAAATAGGACTGCCCCATGTCTGTAGAGTAGGAGCGGATCTAGTTTATAGGTACAAAGGAGGTTAAGTGCATTAGGTTTTAAACAATTGTAGTATAATTTGGGTTGGTAGGGACCTTTGAATGTTAATTGGCCTAATCTGCTAGAAGTGCCACTTCAGAGCTACGCTGGGTTGCCCAGGACCTTGAATCGTCACACGGGGAGTATCTCCAAGAACAGAGATTCCACAGCCTCTCTGCAACCTCCTCCGGGGTTTCGCTGTCCTTTCTCTGAAGAGCGTCTTTCCTTTCCTGGGATACAGGAATACATGTGCTTGAAGGATGGTTGTTGGCATTCCCGTAACACCGCTCTAAGGGAAGTCACAGTTGCACTTGACTGAGTCCACGAATTTTACAAACTTACAAGAGGGAGGCAGGTATCTTTCAATATTTTATGTTAAGAACTCTCAGAAAATGAAGCAAAAGCTGTAGGCATGGCTGAGCTTCAGGTTGCTGCGACTCCTTTGTGTCAGGGTGTCAGTACCTGCTGCTTCTAAAGCTCAGTCAGCACTGTGGTTTCTGGGAGAGCTGTCGGCTCTGCTCCATTGTCGTTTCTATTGGGTCACTCCAGACTTTCTGGCAGCAGTTTGAACTGTGTGCCTTAGCAATAGCATGATTAAGGAGTGCTCACCTGCTCCGTTTCACCAGCAGAACTGTGTGAGCTCTCTGCGTATGTGGAGACACATGGCTGGTAAAGCTAAGGGGTTGATCATGATCCTTTCTGAAGTCCTTTTCTTTCAGTGGCTGAGGTGGTGTTTGTCAGCTTGCTGTGACGCTGACAACCACCACTGTAACTGGAGATCCATTGGTGTCTTGGGCAGAGAAAAATTTGATTGTGGTTTAGAGTTGGGCAGGGATACTAAGTAGTATGTATTAGCTGCTCTCAGGTAGTTAGGAACAAGTCTTATATCTGAGGTAGCTGGTGCTGACAGTGAAAATGGCTGCTCTATGAAAACTGTTTCTAGGAAACATCTGTAATTGAGTATGAAAATTGTTTGTAAGCTACCCTGATGCCTCTTACGAGCTTGGCAGTTGCAATTACTGGGGAAGAACAGCTCTGGGAACCATAGGTAGCTGGGCATTCCTAGTTAGGTTTTATGTTCCTAGCACAGGTTGTGCATTTGTAGCCTTCTTCTCAAGTGCTACTTGGGTTATTCCATTGAAAGTCTGATGCTGACTCTGTAACAGAGCTTCAAAAAAAAAAAAAAAAAAAAGTTCTATGAAAATCCTTTTGTCTGCCTTCTCAAGGAACCAGTGGGTTTCCCAAAATGTGAAAATGAGCACAAAAAACTAGTTTCCCACTACAGTACTGTTTTAAGCCTCTGGTGGAGTAAGTTTGTTTAGAATTTTTCATTGCTATCCTGGAGAAAGAGAGTATGCTTGTTAAACATGAGGCAAACAGGAAGAAAAGGGCCAGTGTACTCAGAACTCTCTAGTAGAACCCAAAATCTTAAAAAAGGAGAGTGGGGGAATACCCCTCGATGATAGTCTCTCTGCATAGGTGGGTTTGGCCAACTGCATGACTAAAGGAGTAAGAACTGTCTGGATGGATGTCTCAGAAGAAAGTTTGGGAAAGGGGGTACAGGTTATCTGGAGATGAACATTGGTGCCTACAAGGAAGAGAAACCTCATAGCGCAGTGAGCTACATACTTCACAGGATGTGAAGGAATCAGCCTGCTCTCTGTGACACTGGTAAGGCTTTTGCTGCTCCCATGCGCCGAGAGTTCCTACCAAGATGTGGACCAAGTGGTGGGCATCTGGAAGGCAGCATAAAGAAAGATCAAAATCTTTAAAAAGCCCACATCCTTTCCCACCTATAGGAATTACAAAGAATATTGAAAGAAGGACAGTGGTTTAAATAGACTAAATTATGAAAATCCTGTGATGAGTTAGGCAGTAAATGTGTGTTTCTGTGTGCAGCCAAAGCAGAACATGCAGCCTTTCTTGCTCTCCGAATCAATAACACCTCTGAGTCCGCTGTCTTGGGGACGGTGGCAGCTTGTGAGCGGTGCTGCAGGCAGAAGCCCGGCTGGGAGGGCACGTGGGGTGAACGCAAGCTAGGAAAAAGAGCTTCTTGCTACAAAGCAATCGGTATTTATAGTCAGAGCCTTGGGGTGTTATTTAAAGGAATAACAAACGACTTCTGGCAGAGGTGGGTCTAGTAACCTCAAGGCGTGTCCCCGGCAGGTGCAGCCGGCGGGCGGTTGGCATTGCTGGGGCCGCGTGTGCAAGCTGTGGGCTGCCCACGCTGCCGCGTGTTTTTCTGCCACGGGAGCAGTGGGAGGGTGGAACCAAGCAAGAGCCACAGTCAGCTGCTCAGCACCCTTTTGTGGGACCGCGTTACAAAGCGAACAGGGAAATTCCCATCTACTGCTCAGTCTATATGTGTAATCTGTTGCAGGCACGTCCACACCAGAAGCTGCCAGAAGGTGTAAACCTGTTGTCCGTACTGTCTTTCTCTAGGAAAATGCAAAAAGAAGGCTGTGCATCTTCTCTAGGGCTAAAATTGATGGAAAGCATTTGGAAGTATCTAAAGATCTTACCTTCAATCTCCCTATGGGTATTTTATGACTAGAAGAAAATAAAATAAGCAATACCTATTATTCCTCACTAATGCAAAAAAATTACAAATTTCAAAACCTAAAATGGTTGGTAATATGAAGTCATGGACTGCTAGCAGTTAACACACTCAAATTGTGCGCTTTTCTTGTCCGATTCTATTACTGTAGTACTTAATTACCATTCTTAAATCACTATTTCCTGGGGTTAGGTATTATACTGACATACAAAATTGCTACCTTACTGCAGTCCTACTTTTGGTTTGTGTTTAGGCAATACACATAATATCTTTTCCCAAAAGAGATTTCATATAAAGCTTATTTTATATTTCAGGTTCATGTAAAATTTATTTTTCAGTTACTGTTATTAGAAATGGTAGCTATGATTTTTTTAATATTTTGCTTTATAGGATGGGAAAGCCTCCTGGAGCTGGGGATGTGAGAATGCTGTTCTGGCTTCCACTGAGCTGGATCGTTCTAAATGTCACCCCAAAACTATGGGGAACATTTTCTGCTAGACAGGCAATGAATACTCCATCTCTTCTACTTCCCTTGCAACCCTCTTTTTCATTATTTAAGTTTTTAAACTTACATGGTTTTAATGTTAAAAAAAAAAAAAAAAAAAAAGCTTAGTATTGTGCCAGCTCTGGCAGAATGAAAAAAAAAAATAGTTCATTCTACTGTAAGAGAAATGACTATTCAAACAATAATCAGACAGATGAAACAGATGAAAATTAAATCCTCAGTATTGCAGTTCTAAGTTACACAATCCTCTCTGAGACTCCAGATGTACAGGCCATGTTTTATTTTCTCCATTGGGAAGGTAGCTCAGAACTATCTACTCTTAGAACTGTGCCCTGGGCTATGTTTTCTTGGCTGCTAAATATATGTATAGATCCAATTAGCCTGACACATACAAAAATTTCCCCAGTAAAAGTGTGAGGACAAATAATACACACTATCACAGCATTGGCTTCCTAAAAGACCCCATGAAAAAGGTTCAGAAACTCTCAGAAAAAGAAAACAGCAGAGAGATCTCCAAGTGTATGATCTTCTCTGTACTTTTTTTCAGGATCCCAGAGTAAAAATGCCACTTTTCTAATGTTGCTCACTTTACCTATCACTGTTCTGACCTATGAGAAAACATGATTAATTTCATTTTGGCATATTTTTTTTGTTGTCGTTGTTTTTATTTTTCAAGATTCCAGAGTAAAAATACTACTTTTCTGATGTTTCTCACCTTGGCTGTCACTGCTCTGAACTATGAGAAAACATGATGAATTTTTTTTGGCATTTTTTGTATTAA